AAAATCTTAATATTGACTCAAATGTCAACAGAATTACTGGAATTTTCAACTGTTATGGCAAGAAACTTATCTTGAAATACTTATGCCAGTAAAACTAGATAAAAGTTTGGATAATTAATTTTTTGTAATAAATTGCAAAATTAAATATTACTTTCCACCATAAAATTTAACCACTTTAGATGTATAGCTTATTGATTTGAAAGTACATTCACAATATCGTGATATCACTTCCACTATTTGTGGAACCTTTTTTTTTTTTTTTTCCATTCTAAACAAAAACTTCGTATCTATTGAACAATAACCCTCCACTGACCCCTTCTCCCAGCTACTGGTGATCTCTAGTCTACCTTCCTGCTCTTACCAGTTTTCATAATCTAGATACCTCATGTACTTTGCATATTTTCATAGTTCACCCACTTCATAGCAATTAATTATACATGTCACAACTGTAGCATGCATCAGAATTTTATCTCTCTCTCTCTCTCTCTTTTTTTTTTTTTTTTTTTTGCATTGATGGGGATTGAACTCAAAACTTTTGGGTGAAAGGCAAGCACTTGATCATCAAGCTCTATTTCCAGCCCTTTCATTCCTGTTTAAGCTGAATACTATTCCACTGTATGTATATATTTTGTTTATCCATTCACTTGTTGCTGGGCATTTGAGTTGTTCCCACTTTGGAATACTGTGAGCAATGCTGGTTTGGGTACCAGTCCATGAGTGTGTTTGAGGGCTTGTGCTCAATTCTTTTGCTGGACTATGCAGAATTCTTTGTGTAGCTTTTTGAGGCACTGCCAAGTTGTTTTCCACAACAGCTGATCCATATTACATCTCCACCAGCTATGCATGATTGTTCCATATGCAGGTCATATGATGCTCTGTATCCTTGTCCCAAATGGTAGGAGATAAGAATTGAAAGAGTAGCATGCTACATTTTGTTATAAAGTTTGTATTGGCCTGACATGCAGATGGTGTAGCAGCTGATAATGGGAATTCTATACCTAAAAGCAGATTTATCTACTGGAGTCTTTTAAAGTCTACCCCAAATAAATCATTTCCTCCCTATAGTAATTTCCTTGTGCATTTCAGGATTCCAAGCCTTCCTCTAACCATTGGGAATTCCACAGAATCTCCCACTTGGACTCCTTTCGCTGTGTGCTTTTCTCCTGCTCTCGATGTACCTCCTGTTTGCTGCTTCTTGTCTGCCATTTTTGATATTGTTAGGCTGTTTGACTAGTGACTGCTGTAAGCTAGGAATTGCCCTGTGTCTGTCATTGCTCTGAGATGAGGTTATACACAGACCAGGGTCTTCTTGTCAATGCTACACCAGACTATCGGTAGGGAGCTGAGGAGATGACTCAGTATGAAAACATTTGTCACACAGCCGTGAAGACCAGCGTTTAGATCCTCAGAACCCATGTCAGAGCCAGATAGACTTGATGGACTGCCTGTAATCCTTGTGTGCGGGAGGCAGAGACAGGGGATCCACTGAGGCAAGCTGGCTAGCTACAACAGCTGGTCTGTGAGCTCTGGCTCAGCTGAGAGACTTGACTTAGTCTATAAAGTGGAGAGTGACTGAAGAAGACATCTGACCATTAGTGTCAGGCCTCCACAGGCACACACACACACACACACACACACACACTCACAAACACAGAGGCACACACACACACACACACTCACACAAACACAGACACACACACACAGACACACACAGACACACACACACACACTCACACACACAGACACACACACACAGACACACACACACACTCACACAAACACAGAGGCACACACACACATAGAGGCACATAGACACACAGACACACACACACAGAGGCACACAGACAGAAACACACATACACACACATAGAGGCACACACACACACACATAGAGGCACACACACACACAGACACACACTCACACAAACACAGAGGCACACACACACATAGAGGCACATAGACACACAGACACATACACACACAGGCACACAGATGCACACAGACAGAAAAACACACACACACAGGCACACACACACAGAGGCACACACACACACACACACCCCGCATGTATATACAAGCTCAAAAGAAAATGGATTAGGTTTCTATATCAAATGGCTTTGGATGAACACTGGGGTCAAAGTTGGCTCACCCTGGTCATCAGTGTCCTGGATTAAAGAGCCAGGATAATATATTATCATACAGTATTGTATGATGTGCCATACAGTATTGACTTACCTTAGGGCAACGAGGGAGAACGAGTGAGTGCCAAATAGAAGCAACTGCACAGTGTGGCCTGCATTCAAACCCAGAAATATTTGCAGTGGTTCAACTGAACTGACTTGCACTGAAAGCAGGTATTTACAAAGAGGCATCCAAACCAATTACATTGACTGGTACTGAAGCCAAGATATTTAGTTATTTCCTCACATCCCACATCTATCTAGCCCAAATCTGATTAATTTGGGCCAGGATGCAGCCACAATCAATTACCCTGGTCCTGGCTACATCTCTCTAGCAGGCTGCATTCAGATCAAGACTATCTTCCTGTTGCCTCAAAGCATATCTTCTATTAGCAAAGGGCCAGTCATGTCTTGCTCTTGGAAAATGTGCTACAGTATTGGGAGATTGGTTTCCAGCAGATGTGTCAGCTTTACAGGAACTGAGTTCTCAATGCTAAATACATTAAAATACATGTTTTACTTCTTTTGTCTGAGACGAGGCTTTTAAGGGGCAACAGACACCACTATAAGAGCTAGCACGGTGTGCATCGTCTGTGGAGAGGTATCTGCTTGAAACGCCGCTTCCTTTTGCTCAAGAGGCAATTGCGTACATCATTGCTTAGCAACACTCGGTTCAGCTCTGACACCTTATTCATCTTTAATATTCAGGTTCAGATCAAGTCTTCCCAGAGACAGGGCGAGCTGAGTCTTTTAAATCAAGCAAGTAGAAGTTGTTACTTTGCAAGTTTCCTCCTAGGGCTGTCAACTTTTAACTTAGCTTTGAATCGGACATTTCTTTTCACTTTAGCCTCTTTCAGGACCTTTTGACTCTGTTCCCATTTCATGTCGTTTCTTTTAAATCTTGAAAAACGCTACCATAACCTCTGTATTTGGGACAACACAGTTACCTGTCTTAGCGTGGACCCCAGACCCATCGTGAGGCAGAATGCTTCCCCACATCTTCTGCTGTAGCCAACTGAAACAGCCCTGCTCTCTACTGTACAGGTTCCTCACAGGCTGGCCAATCACCAACCTGATTTTTAAAAGGAGGGACACACAACGGCTACATTGTAACACGATATTGTGCTTTATGGTAGACTTTCTTTCTGTGTGGGGGGGTGGAGGCAGGGAGGGAGGGAGAGGGAGTGAGGGGAAGGAGGGAGAAGAGGCGTGTATGTGCATATGTCTATGCAGGTGCATGTGCACACAGATACTTGACTTTTGGGCTCATAGGGGATGGCGGATTCCTTTAGATAGAGCTGGGTGGGCCCTTTCGCCTTGGGTTTTGTGTGAGTCTCACTGGCAGGGCCTCAATATGCAGCATTTTAGTTGTTTACTTTCCCCATTGTAAGAAACTTCTTGAGGGATAAGGATTCTGTCTTTTATCTTTTATTTATTTATTTATTCATTCATTCATTCATTCATTTATTTATTTATTTATTTATTTATTATTTTACATCTCGATCCCAGTTCCCTCTCCCTCTCTCCCTCCCTCCCTTTTACCCCGATTCCACATGTAGGGCAATGCCATCCAGGTGGGGTCATGTAGATCTGACAGGTCATGTGAAGTAGGGACTAGGACTTCTCTCCTGTCTCTAGGTTAAAGCATTATCCCTCTGTGGGGGATGTGTTCACAAGGTCCTTTTGTGCACCAGGGATACATCCTGGTTCCACTGTCTGAGGTCCCTTAGACTGCTCAGGCCTTCTAGCTGAGACCCATATTCAGGGGGGCCTGAGTCAGTCCCATGCTGGCTTCCCAGCTATCAGTCTGGGGGGGGGCGGCATTAGCTCCTCCTTGTTCAGGTCAGCTGTCTCTATGTGTTTCTGCAGCCTGGTCTTGTCATCACTCTCTTCATCTGCATTCCAGTTCTGCTCAGTGTTTAGCTGTGAGTGTTTGCTTCTGTTTCCATCAGCTACTAGATGAGGGCTCTATAATGGTGGACAAGTTAGTTGTCGATCTCATTATCAGGGAAGGGCATTTATGGTAAGCCTTTCCACTGTTGCTCAAATTGTTAGTTGGGGTCAGTCTTGTAGGTCTCTGGACATTTCAATAGGTTTAGTTTTCTCTTCAAACCTATAATGGCTCCCTCTTTTATGCTCTCTCTCTCTCTCCAATAACAGTTCTTGAATGTCCCCGTATGAATTTATCAGCCACCTTCTGACCTATTCTTTCTCTGTCAAGGGCTCTGCCATTTTACTACTATTTGAAGCCCACAGAAAGAGTCAAGTATCTGATCAGGGCTGTGATAGATGTTGATATGAAGCAGAAAGGCTGGGATATAAAAGTAAAGGCAAGATGCTTTGAAGATATGAAAATGTGAGAGGCTAGGTTAGCTACACATTTCTAAACATTTGCACAAGGGAAAGAAACATTATGGTTGTTTTAAATCCATATTTTTACAGCTGGTTTAGAAAAACAACTGTGACTCATTGGTATGCTAACGTCATCAGTTTATGTATCCCAGGCTTAGAAAATACAACTTGAGGACTAGCTTCCAAAAGCAACTTCTACCATCACAGGAGACAGCCTGATGCATTAGTAAATGGTATGGATAGATTTCTGAGAGATTGTTCATATTTTTTAAAATTTCATTTTTTAAATGTTTAAATTAAATGAATAAATTAAAATGTTTAATTTATTCAGAAATAGGATAGCATATTCCATCACCTTTCTACTTCAATTGTTGACTATTTTGTTAATACCTTTCTTGTTAGATATCATAGCATTGAGATGATGATCATAGCTTATTTTCAATATTTTATTTTCTCTCATTTTTACAGAAAACAAGCATCGTTGTGGGTCCAAGGAGACATTTTTCGATCCAAACTGAAAAATAGGCCTTCTAGTGAAGGAAGTATTAATAAAATTATTTCTAGCTTGGATGATATGTCTATTGGTGGAAACTTATCTAAATTACAGAACGTGGAAAGATTTGGAGAGGTGAGTTTTCCCCAGGAGGAGCCTGTCTCCTTAACACCAGTATTCTTCATGTTTCCCCACTGAACATATGGATCTATCATTTCTGTCTTTTTTAAGTGTGTGTGTGTGTGTGTGTGTGTGTGTGTGTTTATGCCCCGCTATATTACACATGTGGTGGTCAGAGGACAACTTTTGGGAATTGGTTCTCACCTTTTATCACATGGGTTCTGGGGATCAAATTGAGGCTGCCATAGGCATGGCGGCAAGCATCTTTGCCTGCTGAGACATGTCACCAGCCCAGCCAGAGATCTTACCTATTCCCTGAGCTAAGTTTCTAAGCTTGGAGTCATTGACCTTTAGAATACAAAGCAGAATAAAGCAACCAGTTGTCTTTATAAATGAGGAAATTAAGTCATAATTTAAGGAAAAATTATAAACCGAGAGATTCTGATGTAAAGAATATTTATGGAAAGGCAACAGAAAAGTAAAGTTTCTGTTTGAAACAGAAATAGATAGCTAGAAGAAAAAGTTTGATGCTGTGTTTACAGACACCGTACCCAGCACAAGTGGTACTTTGAAAGCCCCCAATTCACTTTGATTTCTAAAGAGTGCAGAGAGAGAGCAGAGTTAGGACAACTTGTTTCATCCAGTTTCTTCACTAAACAAACTACTTTAAATAGTCACTGTTAGTGGCTGATCTAATCTGCACTACCACTCAGTGAATTCAGCAATATCTCTGCTTTATATTAAGGAAATTGTGTTCTGGAGATGTGTTTTAAGGCATGATTCAATATGTGTCTGTCTGATTTCACACTCTTTTTTTTTTTCCTTTTTTCTATTATTCCTTATTACCTCTGAAGTAGCAGGAAGTGACTTACAAAGAATTTAGAGCCTGAGCATTTTGGGAGCTGGAAGCAACTGTACTAGTTGTACTAAGTATCATTTGTTCTAATTCTTTTCTGTGGATAAGAAATGAGAGATCCAAAAATATGATTTGCTCAAGGGCCTTGAATTATTGAGTAGTGAAATCACTTTCAGGAATGGGCATTCAATGCTTAGTTTAGCTTGTCCTTCCACCCCCAGTTCTCCCAAGAAAGGGTGATACACTTGCTTCGGCCTCCCAAATCTGGGATTATGGGCACAAGCCATCATCTCTGACCCTACTTTAACTCTTTGAGTAACATTGTTCCTGAGATAAAGCTATGAATTTGGGATATATTTTTATATTCCTTAAGAGGCAAAAGAAATGGAAATAACTGGAGAGACAGCTCAGTGGGTAGAGCTGTTGCCTTGTGGGTGTGAGAACTGGGGTTCAGATCCTCAGAAGCCACAGAAAAACTGGGAAGCTGTGGTAGCCACCTCTAATCTCAGAATTGGGGAGACAATGGTAAGGGATGCCCGGGACAAACTGGCTATATAAACTAGGCAGAGCCAGCAAACTTAATTCAGGAAGAGAGGTGCAGAGTCGTCGAGGAAGATAGCTGATGTTAGCTTTGGAACTTTGGACATTTACATACATGGTGAAATATTTAAGCAACAAAGAAGCTGGGTGCTTCATTGAGCCAGACGAGGCAGCTTAGCCTCCAAGAGCCCACATGGAAGAGTGCATAGCTGTCTCAAACCAACGCTTGGCATCTCTCCAAGGCTTCTCTTAGTCAGAGACACATCCTGGGCTCTGTGAGGGGGAGGGGAGCTTCATTCTAGGACACAGGATGGAGACTGCTGAAGGAGCTGGTTTTAAATCTTGTGTTTGTCGCCCAGCACAGCCATAGATGGAGTGGCTGAGTTTATTGTTTGAGTCATCTGTCCTGAGGAAATGTAAATCTTAGCCAACAGAGCCTTTGTTGACTTTTTCTTGCCTCTGTTGCAGTCTGGACTATGAGAAGCAAATGAAGGATCTAAATTAAATTTTAATGAGCTAATATTGCTAAACAAAAATGCCCTTTCTTTCTTGTTCTGGGTTGTGACTTTGGAAAAGACCAGTGTAACATTCATCTCTCTCTGAGGAACACAGCTACCTTTTACCAACAAATGCTTTCTAAATTACTGTCTCTTAAATTACTATGTAGCCCAATGGTTCTCAATTGGTGACTCCCCCAACCATAAAATTATTTTCATTGCTACTTTGTAACTGTAATATTGTAACTGTAACTGTAACTATCTGTTTTCTGATAGTCATAGGAGATCCCTGAGAAATCATTACCACTGGGGTTGTGACCCATAGGTTGAGAACCACTGATCTAGCCAACCATTCTCACCCATTTTTATATTCTTGTTTGCTCGACTCAGGACTAATTATCCTTTACCATGGGAAAATTAAGGGATGCAGTATGATTGAAAATTAAAATATATCATCTTGAAATATATATTTAGATGTTTCTTCCCCAGATTAGTTTATTTAAGATTATATAACAGAATACTGGAAACTGCGTGTCTTATGAACAACAGTAATTCATTTTAAGACATTCTGGAGGAAGGGAGGCTAAGGTCAAGCAAGGCCTTGGCAGAGTCACTGTCTGATGGGGGCCTATCTTCTGGATATAGGTGGTACATCCTCCTGGTCTTCATAGAATGAAGGCGAGAGGCAGCTTTCCGGAACCTTGTCCACTCCTGAGGGCTGCCTCATGGTCTAACCACGCTTGAGAGACTCCAACTCTAAATACCATCACTGTGGGGTAGAATCTCAACATATGAACTTTGGGGAAACACAAATCTGTGGCTTTTGGTAAGGACCATCAATAGTTATTTTCATTTTAGCCATTCATCAGTGTTTTCTTCTTACAGTTGGAATAAGAAAATGAAAAACAATAGAACAAAACAAAAGCCCCTCAGGTGGCAGAGTGCAATTGGATATCAACTGCTTATTTTGGCTCCTAGTTTGAAGAGATGGAATCCATCACTGCAGGGAAGGCATGGCCATGTTGGGTGTTTCCATGACAGTGAGAGTATAAGACAGCTGTTTCTTCCTGTCACAGCCAGCAGGAAGCAGAGAAATTAGGCCTGGAAGTTGGGCAGGGTTCTAAAGCTCAACTTCCGCCTTCCCCCATCCTGCTTAGCAGACCATTTCCTCTAACCAGGTCCCACCTCTTGAAAGCTCCACATCCTCCCAAACTGTACCACCAGGTGGGGACCAAGTCTCCAAACACAGCAGCCTGTGTGTTACATCCATACTATAACAGGTGGCGTCTATGTGGGCCTTGGGCTATGACACACATAATTGATGCCTTATACAATGAATACATCTAGAGTCTTTTCTAGATGTGTTTTTCTAGTACTAGCCTTGGAACATCTCACAAAGGGGAAATTAAATGGACTCGATAGAGCTGGTGATGTGTTTATTGTTTGTGAATTTCAAGTGGAAACATAAGAAGCTGTAAGGATTTTCATGTGCTTCACATTCTGTACTGGTGTGTGAGGGAGGGGCCCATGGCAGTTCTGGATTTATTGACTTTGTATGTCAAGCACAAAAGGCTACCTTTATTAGTTACCTCTATAAAAGTTACCATTATTAAAAAAAAAAAAAAAAAAAAAAGGAGAGTGAAAGCAGAGAATTTCACTTACGTTTGATTTTGTGGTTCTACAGCTGTTTTCTTGTGATTGGTAATTAGGAAACACCTTAGTGACTGAATTAGAGTGCCAGAATCAAAGCAAACAAGCAGTAGCTAGAAAGGCTGGCTGGGCCTTCGTGGCGAATTTTTTTTTGCACACTCAGGGTTGTGAGGAATCTTTCAACGTTAAAGTTGTGCCCTTGTGGAACCTGGCCTTCAGTGCTGTGAATTACACTCACCACCCCTACTGGGGCAGCTTTTCCACCTCCCCCCATCCCCATGTTTGGGTAGCTTGTGTCCTCCTCCCACAACCCCCCCCCCCCCAATTAGGGGAAGCTTGTTCCCTGTCCCCTCTTTTTCCCTCCCCCCCCCCATGGTCCTGCTGAGCTGTGCTCTTCCATGCTGAGGGTTTTAACCTGTTCCCATCATGTTTTGAATTCTGGACTGCACAGTCTTTTGTATCCAAGAATAAAAGAGAACAGACATGCGAAATTGGCACTAACCCAAACGGTACGATGACATCACATGTTGAAGCACAAAATAATACCAAAAATAAGATTTCTCTGTGATGTTCAGGGGATAAGAAGCCATTGTGGATTGGAATTCTAGGAGAAAGTGGCCAGAAGGAATATGAAGAGCTTTATTTAAAGTACAAATATTTAAGCTAAATTAGGAGTTTAGTGGTGACAACCACCCACTGTGTGCCAAGAACCATTCTAAGCACCTTACATGGATTAACCGTGTAACCATATGGCATAGACACTGGAATGAGGACCTTTGAGAAAGACATAGCAGAGGCAGGGGAAGGTGGGCACCCACCCAAGGTACCACACACACAGTCTGTACGGAATTGTCCTTTGAACTTAGGCATAGTGGTTCACAGACTTCCTCCATGAGTTCCCAGTGTGACTCTAATACATCACACACATGACACAGCTCCTCCTGAAACTTCTCCCAGAGTCACAATAAGCTCAGCCTTTCATTTAGCTTCTCCAGGGCTGTATTCAAGCATCCATCTACTAACTCGTAGATGCTCTTGACTTAGAGATGCTCATTCGATGCAGATGCTGATGATGTGAAACAGCCAACTTTATGTGGATTTATGATTGTCTCGGTAAGAAAGTAGTGCCACATCTTTGAGAATTATGTCTCTGAACTATTTTTATTAAGCCCATCAAATGCTCATGAACTGGGCACATTTTAGAAAATTCCTTAAGTAAAGCACATCTCTAAGGCCTTACTTTCAAGTACTTTGCTTCTAGTCTCAGGTGTCTCTGTTCCCACTTGAATGTCACCAGAAGCCACCAGAAGCTACAGGAAGGGAAGTGGTAGCATCCAGATTGAAATTTTAGGGCACGTCTTCTGGATTTAGTTTGGAAGCTGTTGCTGAGGTCCACAGAAGACTAGAATAAAGGGCTAGGGAGTTGGTGATGTGGACACAGTCCCGCTTTCAATGCAGTGAGGACAGATTTGGTAAGATCTAAGAACCCAAACTCAGTTGCCTTCCTTCGTCTCTTCCTCTCCCCAGTTCTCTTCCCCCTCTGTCCTTCCCTTTTTCCCTTCTGTGGTGTTGGGATGCGACCCAGAGCCTTGCGTATTCTAGGCAAGTGCCCAGGCTATGCCACCCTTCCAGCTTCTGAAACCCAATCTTCCTTCTGATCTCAGCAGTTTATTGTGAAGATACCTTTGTCTTCCCCGAACTTTGACACCGTACAGGTTCAACATCTGAATGCTGAAAAGAACTTTGGCACTAGTGACCCAGCCATCTTTACCACCCAAACTTTACATTTACTAACAATCCACTTTCCTTATCTGTCTTCGGATCCTTTGACTTCTGCTTTTACTTACTTCTGTTTCAAATACCAGTGCTATTTTTTTTTTTTTAAGATAGAATCTCTCATCTTTATTCCCCAAAACACTACATTTTATCTAAGTTCTTTGTATAATGGCACATTCAACAACTTCCCTTGCAGCATAGTCTGCTACCGTTTTATTACTTTATCTGTCTATAGCTATGGGCACTCTTTTAGTATGATGATATTTTGTCTTGTTTGCATAGAACTGGTAAGGTAAAATAAAGCCCATTATCTTTATGGGGGCCAAGAGGTGAGGCCTCCCTCAGGGTCAGACTTCTTTGCCATTGATCTCCAACAGGCTGTGGGTCAACTCAGAGTAAGAAAAGCCCAAAGTTGGGCTCCCCGCATTTGTCATTTGTCACAGGACTCCACTGCATGTCACACCTTCCCCACTGTGGTAGACTGGGATTTCTCTGAAACTGTGAGCCCAAATGAGCCTTTCTTACCTGAAATTGGTACTATTGGGTATTTCAATAACACCAACATGAAAGTAACCAATACAGAACCCTAATGGCACCTCATGAGCGAAGTCCTCAAACCACCAGCTGCCTACCGACCAGTTCACGGGACTGATGTATGCCTCACAGTGTGTAGAGTTGAATTCTCTCATTTGTTCTTCTCCCCGACTCCCCACTCTCACCCTAGGCTTCTGTGATCTGGTTATATTACAGAGGTGATTTCCTAGTAAATACGGGGCTCAGTTACAGTCATGTCCATATGTTTAACTCTGTAGCTCAGGAGGCAAGAATCTGTTCCTGTAGAGTTGTCATTGGTTTTGTAGTTTTGAAGACTGTGTAATACAATGCAATGCAATAGTGTTTTGAATGACATTGTGTAAGATTTTTGTTAAGAATTTGACCATAGTAGCACCAGCCCACCACTTGGCAGGCCAGAAAGCAGGAGGCTCAGGAGCTCCAGGCAAGCTTTGTCTAGATAGCAATTTTGAGGCCATTCAGGACTGGATGAAACCCTGCCTAAAAAAAAAAAAAAAAAAAAAAAAAAAAACAAACCAAACACACACACTCGCACACACACACACACACACACACACAACAAACAAACAAAAAAAGTGTTAATTTGCTTACTGATTGTTTTGTGATTATACCTCTGTACCTTTTAGTCCCTCAAATACCCTAAAATCTGTGCATAAATAATGACATGGTCTATTCTTTGCTAGGTTTCTTCAGACCTATCCTGCATGTTTAGATCTTTCCTCACTTTGCCTTCTTCCTCACATCTTGCCATCTAAGCAGTTTGCTGCATCCTAATCTAAGCTACCTTCTCTCATATTATAGAAGCCACTTAACGGTCTGCCTCATTCTTGGTCCTTTCCTTCCCCTGAATTCTCCAACCATGGAGCAGCTAGAAGGAAATGTTTGCAATATACTCACATACATTTCTAAACACATGCAGAACACTGAATGCAATGTATATACACAAAAATTATGAAAACCTCCTGGTTCCTAAAAACAAAACATGTCTCCATCCCTAGAAATGATGTGAATTTACATATTAGGGTGCTATTTAATCTATCAAATATTAAAGATGAACTCTAACTCTTTGCTAGGTGAAGGGTGAGTATATAGTCTGGAGGGCGATATATTAACATTTAGAAGATAGCTTTAAAATGAGCTTAGGAATTGCACTTCATGAACTTTTCTTTCACAGTACTTGGGCAGTGTTAGACAATCATTTGCATCTAGAATGTGTTTGTTAAAGCTTTGTACAGTGCTGAGGGGCAGAGAACAATCTGACCTAAAGTATTTGTTAAAGAAGCAATTTGGTATGTCTAGACAACAGAATGTTATGGGGCCATAAAATGACAATGCAAGGTTCTTTTTCATTTGTCCTGGAACACCATAATAAATGTGCATTTTTAATAATAACTTACAAAGCCACACATGTAATATAACCTGTTTTTGTAAGGCAGGAAAGTGTCAGGGTAACAGGTGAGAGGGGAATGTGTGCATAGCACAGTAAAATTCTGGAGAACATGTGCCAAGATTTTTCTTTTCTTTTCTTTTCTTTTCTTTTCTTTTCTTTTCTTTTCTTTTCTTTTTTTTTTTTTTGGCATTTGATAGTAAATCTGTAGATGCTTTAACATTTTTCAGGCTTGTCTGTATTTTATTTCTAAAGGCAAATGTTTGCTAAGTATATATACTTTATTGTTTGTCATCTATCAAACTATCATGTATGTATGTGTGATTTATTTATGCATCTCTCTATCTTAGTTACTTTTCTGTTGCCATGATAAAGCACCATGGTCACAGCAGCTTATAGAAGGAAGAGTTTGTTGGGAGTTTATAGCTTCCAGTGAATGTGTCCATGACCATCATGGTGGGGAGCCTGGCAGCAGACAGGCAGGCATAGCTCTGGAGCTTAAATCCTTAAGACAGCAACCTTAGGACATAGGGAGGGAGAGAGAGAGAGGAGAGAGAGAGAGAGAGAGTGAGAGAGAGAGGAGAGAGAGAAGAGGAGAGGAGAGAGAGAGCTGACCCAGAAACATGTGTGCTCTTGAAACTTCAAACCCCACCCCTCCTCCAATAAGGCCACACCTCCTAATCCTTCCAAAACAGTTTTTCCCACTGGGGACCAAGTATTCAAATAAATGAGCCTATGAGGCTATTCTCATTCAAGCCACCACATTCCTTTCCCTGGCTGCCATAGGCTTGTAGCCATATCATAATGCAAAATACATTCAGCCCATGTTCAAAAGTCTGCATAGTCCATCAGTTCCAAAACTGTATAAAAGTCTTGAGTCGTCTCTTCTGAGATTCAAGACAGTCTCTTGACAATAAGCCAAAAGGCGAACTATATACTTCTCACATAGTATAGCACAGAATATACATCACCATTCCAAAAGGGAGGAATGGGGGCATGTCGAGGACCAAACATGACCCTGATGGTTCCATCCCTCTAGCTTTGCTGGCTGCAACACTGTTCTTCCTCCCCCTTCTAAGAAAAGACACAGTTTTCTTCTGCAGGGAGGGTGAGCTGGGACTATGTATGCATTGCTTTCTTCTGTAAGAGTGAGGCTTTATTAAACTAAAGGAATAAAGTAAAAGCAACATGTTAAATGCAGATAGCTAGGTGTGTGGCCGTTTGTTGTATTATTTTATGTTTTTGAAATCTGTCATAATTTTAAAAAGTGTGTAACTTGCTGATCATGGTGGGGCAGGCCTCAGAATGAAAGAAAAAAATCTGGTATTTTAAAATTTGCCACTTAGTGAAATAAAAACCCCACATGTAGTTATTATTTTAAATATCCTATTCATTTTATTTAGCTACATATCTTTTAGAGTGGGTTTTATTTTCTGGTATATAAACATGACTTAAAACATGAAAATAGAATTCTAGAAAAAAAAATATTCCATTTCACTTTTACCCAAACCTCGGCAGACCATACTGCCAATTCCACTGTTGTATTTCTAAATACCAAAATTTATTTTAAAGATAATTAAAAAAATTTTTTTAATATAAAAGACCTTTCATCTTCTACTTCCTGATTATGGCACATGGGGGTGCTAGCTCTTCTGTCTCGCCATGGGGCTCCTTTTGAGTTACCATGGGAAGCCCTTCCTCTTGAGTTACCACAGGGAAACACTAGCCAGCCACTATACTTTTCAAATTAAGGAACCTCAGCAGGAAACATGGTTTCCCGATTGAGTACCCTTGGCCCTTTAACTCCTGAGAGGGCTTGAGTGCTTCTTGGAAGGTTAACTAATGCAGAAAGTGACCATGTAGATGTCTTCAGTTATTTTATCATGCATGCTTATGGATAGGTTATGAGATTTGCAATGGTGGCTCCTGTAACACCTGGAAACATTTATGATGTTTTTATAGATCGGGGTTGTGCCAGGCTGTTTTCCAAAGCCTAGTGTATACACACGAGTCTCTTTGGTTGTGATCCGTTGTCACAGATAGACTTTAAACATTCCTATATCCAGGTCCAGCCTCACACTTGTTTTGATTTGGAATTTGACCTACATATTTAATGCCGAGTGTTCCATAGTAGGTACTTACTGCTGAATTCATAACACATTTAAATGACTTAATCTACAGCGAGACCATTCCCATGCTGCTATCTATAACTGTAGATGATCTGCACTCTATTAAGAAATTGGTGTAAAGCCAAACTGTTTGTAATGACCTTTCTATGGGACATTGCCTGTTTTTCAGAGTAATTTAGAAGACGAAGACGTGGAAATGAAAAACAACGTAACACAGGGAGACAAACTACGTGCCTTAAAAAGCCAGAGGCAGCCTCGTTCCTCTCCATCCTGTGCATTTAGGTAGCGCCATCTTAAACTTTTCGGTTCATAGTGCACTTGCATTTGGGGGTAAAACATTTCCTCTTCATTTCAGAATATCCTTCTACAAATACCGAGTTTACCTGTGCTTTCTGAGGCATGATGCATTGCTCTTTTGCCTTCGTCCCCAGCTGTTGTGTGTATTATCACTGTTGGGAGTAGCCTAAATTCAAATGCTTATGAAAACAGTTGTTACGTCTCTGTTTCTGGAATTCTGCCTCGAATTGCTGAGAAGTTATTTCTGGATTTCTGCTCTAAGTCCTATTCAGAGATTCCAAGGCACATTTTTTTTGCTGTCGTGGCAGTTCCTCAATGGTGTGCCAAGGTTTTGAATTGGAGCCAGCTCGTGAAGTAGAGTAGGTTGTGTCAAGTTTTGGTATATCCCACTCCTTCAGCTTTGATTTTTGAGACTTGAAAAATTATAAGCCACCTCAAGTTTGAAGTTTGAAATTAGTTGATAAAATCAGATCTGGGAATAGACTTCTAACCACAGAACTGTTGAAATCTTGTGATTGGGTTAAAAACAAAAGAAATCTTATAGGAGAAGGAAAAGTTATATTGGAACAGCAGTTCTCAACTTTTGGGTGGAGACCCTTCTGGGGGTCAAATAGCCCTTTTACATGGGGCCACATAACAGATATTCTGCATATCAGATATGTACATTATAGTACACAACAGTAACATAAGTATAGTTATGAAGCAGAAATGAAATAATTTTCTGATTGGGGAGTCACCACAATATAAGGAACTATATGATTAAAAGATCACAGTATTAGGAAGGTTGAGACCCACTTTATTGGAAGAAAGCTTAATTTAGTAAATACATATGTATAAGGACTGATCCTTCCTGTACATATCTCAGAAGCCATGTTTAGACATGAGTTTTCTTTTGAGCTCTCTGATACTTTCTCAGGGTGCAGAGTTCAGTTTCCATGATAACACCATCAGGAAATACTTCTCTACTGAGCAGATATAATGGCACCTCTTTTGAAAAAGCAAGATGCTCTAAGTAACATTCATGGTGCAATAACAAACGTGGGTTACCTGCTGGCATCAGGGCTCGTTTTGTAAAGTGTATGAACGCAGATATCCACCTGCATGGTTCTTCTCTTTTGATGGTTTGGTATCTTTATGTCTCTGACTCAAATGTCATGTGGTAGTCTTTGTTTAGCTGGGGGGACCTACCTGGTGATATATGAGCTCTTGTCTTTGATTTCTGCAGGTCAGATGATATGAAAGGACACCAAAGGGCAGTGTCCCAGACTTTCAGGTACTGTTGACAAATACACACTTCTAGCTGCTGTAAATATATATGACTCTTAGGGCATATTTTCCAAGCATCAAACCCCATGAAAATAAACATAACTTCACAGCTTTTTCTATCTATTTGTTTATTTTGGTAGTTGGGATACAACTCTGGGCCTTGCACAAGCTCTATCACTGAGCAACACCTTTAGCCTAGCTTATAGATTTTCAAATCCTCTTTCTTTCTGACTTTAAAACAAGCTTCCTTTTGTTTTGTTTTGTTTGTTTGGTTTGGTTTTTCAAGACAGGGTTTCTCTGTATTGCTTTGGAGCCTGTCCTGGAACTCGATCTGTAGACCAGACTGGTCTCGAACTCACAGAGATCTGCCTGCCTCTGCCTCCTGAGTGCTGGGATTGAAGGTGTGCACCACCAACGCCTGGCTGTATGTTTTTGAGATCAGTTTTCTCTACATCGCTTTCTGGCTGTCCTGGAACTCACTTTGTAGACAAAGTGGCCTTGAAGTCACAGATCAGCTTGCCTCTGCCCCCCAAGTGCCAAGACTAAAACCATACCTGGCTTAAACTTTATTTTAAAATCATTTATTTTATTTTATTTTATGGGTAAGAATGTTTGGCTGCATGCATGACATGCACCATGTGTGTTTGCCTGGTTTCTGCCTTCAGGAACTGGAGTTATAGGCAGTTGTGATCTGCCATGTGGATGCGGGGCCCCAAACCTGGGTCCTCTGCAGGAACAGCAAGTGTTTTTAATCACCGAGCCTTCTCCCCAGCCCTAAAGGAAACTTCATTTTTAATGTTTACTGTTCAAAGGGCATCTCCTGCCCTGGCCTTGGCTGTGTGCTGGTGGTGATGACCTTTACCCTCTTTGAGCTCCCAGCACCTTCTGGTCTTCAGTAAACCACACAGTTCTTTGTTACTTTTTTCAACCCAGCGAGAGATTCGAAAGATTCAGATCTCCTCCCATTTGTCAGCTCTCTCTTTACCGTATTTTTGTGTGTGTTTGTTCATTGTTGTGTAGTTTCCTGTTTTTTTTTTTTTTTCCCTCTCTTTCATCCATAAGAAGATGAAATAGTAGTACTTCTCTCTTGAAAAAAAGGTTCTTGGTCCTTCAGGAGAAGGTTCTTGGTCCTTCAGGAGTTGTGCCCAGACACTGTTATTCCCAGGATCGTGGGAATTCCGAGGATTGTGGCACCTGGCGAGAGCACCAGAAGTGATTGGCCGATGTTGATAAAGCAGGACAAAGACACTGCCATTTCCTTCCTGAGGATTTCATTCTAACCACATGTTCTTTAGTGGGTAGTTCTGCTTGGCCCAGGCTTCTTCAAAAGCCGGAGTCACTTCCTTATATAACCTTTCCCCTTTTGTTTGAGGGGGAAATATGGACTAAGCAGTGCTTAGGAGGGTGGGTGGTGAAGGAACGCGTGAACGAGGCTTTCCAAACAGAGGAGAAAGCAGAGTCCAGTTCCATCACAGGATTTATCTAGGACAAAAGAGATTTGTTATTAAAGGTGTGACTGAGCTGTGACTTTTCAGGGGAGCACTTTTCCCTTTGTGCCCACTGGGACCTTGGTGACGGGGCATCCACTGAGTCCTTGGGAGTGGAGAGACAAGTCTTTGCTGTCGAGGAGCTTATACTGAATGATGGAAATAGGCAGAAAGGTAGCATAGTTGTGGTGTGACACTGTCCTTTTTTCCTCCTCCAAAGATTAAGTTCTTCTCCACAACCATCCGTGTCTACTGTGAAGACCCCCAAAGTGTGTTTGTCCCCTTCAGCGACAGCCAAAAGGATAAACAGAGGTTCTTTGTCTTCGGGCGCAAATGTAAGAAGGTAATTTTTCTCTGCCACTTCCAGGGCTCTAGCCTGAGGTAAGAAAGGACTATTGAAGACAAGGGATATGGCTGCGGGTCTATGAGAGGAGGGGCTGGGAAAAAGTGAATAAACCTTGAAGAGCCCACTATTTTTCTGGGACTTCTGGTCCTTTCTCTAAGGCAGGAGTGAGGCTTCAGAAGGGATGGTTAGGTGTGAGCCATCACAGTCTTCTAGTGCCTCTCCACTTGGCTTCCTGGGATATGAATATAGTCAGCCATACTGTTCATCAACAACAGCCCTGTTCCTTGTCCTGTGTGTCCAGACAGTGGGAACCAACTCAGATGGGTAGAGATGCTTGAGGGATAGTCATCCTGTGTTAGAATATGTCTGGGTTAAATCTTGGACTTAAGTCACCTTCCAGACTCTCCTAATATTTACCCGTTGCCTCTGGCAGATACAACTCTCAAATGTTTTATTTTAAGATCAGCCAGTGTTTGAGTCAGTTTCTTGGGTCTTGGTTAACTGCTCATGTCCAAGAAACTTGACACATACGAATAAGGCTGCAGATGATGATGTCACCAAGAGAGACGAAGCAGTTTCGTCACCTGGGTGGATCAGAGTCATCTTCATTGCATTCCCATGATGCTGTGTTCACATATGTGACTATACATTGTTGTCTGTTTCTTCCCCCCCCCCCACAACCTGCGTTTCTCCCCCAGCTTCTCCATAAACTCCCGGCTAGCCAGTTCTCTAGGGAACTTGAATGCCGTGACAGATGACCCTGAGAACAAAAAGACTGCCTCACCCACCAAGGCAGCCTTTATAGCCAGCCCGTTCACCAGCTTCTTGAAGGGCAGCTCCCAGCCACCTGGCAGAAATCACCCTGAGCTCAACAATAACCAGTACACCAGAAGCAGCAGCAACAGCAGCAGCAGCGGCCTTGGGGGCAACCTGAACAGCTCCCCAGGTCCTCTGAGCGCCACGCCCGAGGAGCACTCTACCATCCTTAGACCCGCGTTCCCAGGGGGGCTCTCTTCCTCCTCATCGAGATTCCTGAGCCGTTCTATCCCTGTAAGTTCACAGACACCACCTCTTGGTCCTCAGAACCCTGAATGCAACTTTTGTGCCTTGCCTTCCCAGCCGAGGCTGCCACCAAAGAAATTTAATAGTGCCAAGGAAGCCTTCTGATCACGCCTTCCCTCTGTGTTGTGCAACTGTCCATGCGCTACATTCTGCTGGCTCCTCTTCAAGTAAATGCCAAGTTTCAACTGGGTTTTCCTCCTTCCTTCTTTTTCCTCCCTCTCTCTGGTGAGGTGGGTTTCTCCTTAAAAGGGAGAGAGCTCTCATTCCACAGATCACCAACACTGTAGGCTGTGTTACTTTTCAGTTCAGTTTCCAAAGCATTCTTTCTGAATATCTGGTACCAGGCAAAGCACTCGATCCATAGCATTTGCTTTGCTCTGGGCCTGTGTTAAGAATGGTGGCTTCCCCTCTCCCCAAGGCCAGGATTTGGGGTAAAGAAATGTGGAGCCTGCAGGAGCAGTGTCTTCTCACAGCAGCGAGTACTAGGCCTCCTGCAGGGAGCTGACCCACCATTCTTGAAGTAGCAAACAAAGGTGCTACTGAGCAGTTAGAGAGAGGTGGGTAGGAACCTGGACTGCCAATGTAGGAGGAGCAGTAGCCTCTAGGAAGACATTTAAAATTAGCCACCACCTCTCTTCTAGAGACAAGTGAGAACTGCAAATGCTTTTTTTCTTTTTCTTTTTCTTTTTTTTTTTGCCAAAGAGATTTTTATCTAGTCTCCCTTTTTTACTTAGCCCCAGTGGAGTGAAAATCCATTGGTCAAGTCTTTTCTACAAATGAAATAGTTTGATTGTGTCAAGAAGCACTGATAGCCATGGGATGTGGATTTACATTTGAGAGGGCAAAAGGCGAATAGAACTATGTCCAGCATATGAAAGACGCATGATGGTTGGTTGGTTGGTTGCACTCTGGGCAGGAACAAGCCTGGTTCCCTGGGAAGGCTCTGTCTGCCTCTGTCATACCCCTGCTCTTTAGCCATATGCTCAGCCAACCATCAGGGCAAGGCTGTTCTCCACAAGGTCCATGAGGAGAGGAAGAAAAATCGTTCTTGTGGTCCACTCAGCACACACAGCCTCCATGGTTAGTCCACATTGGGACCCAGTCTCCTTAGCCTATATGAGGGTGTCCCTTGAAATATGGGGGTGGGGTGGAGTTAGGGGATACAGGGTGGGAGTTAGATGTGAAAAGCAAATGTATTTAAACTTTCACAACTGTGTTGATACAACCTGTACTTCACAGAATGAATTGAGTTCAGCCAGATACTTCCATACACTGTTGTGTGGATCAGCTTCTTTTTCAGAACTGACTGCAGATCTTTAGATTTCCAGGAAAAGTGTTATGTAAATAATTATACAAACAGCTCATGGATTAGACTGCTAAAGGCTTGTGCCATCCATACTTAAAGTTTGATGCCAGAAGCATCAGTAAATTGACAAGGTCTTATGTGGGCTACCCATTCTCTGCTGATTGGAGCCTGGGGGAGGAGCTGGATTCTTTACACAATACAGGCCCCTCCTGCATCCCATGATGTTTACATAAGTGAACTTTGGCCTCATTCCATGCTTAGTTGCTTCTTTTTTCATTTCCTCCTCCTCCACATCCCTCTTTTTGGCTGGAATAGGGTGATTTTCCAGTAATTAATTATAAAATGTGGGCAATTAGGTTGCCCCTACTCCTACCTCCTCTTCTGTTGCTGCATTAAAGAAAGGCATTTATGATGAATTGCCTGTATGGCTACTCTTTCCTCTCTTTCACCCTGAGAGGGAGGAAGAAGCAAGCAGGTCCCCCATACAGCCAGACCTCCCTTCCTTTGTCTTTGCCTCTGAAGCCTTCTGTGACCCCCTGTAATGTGGAGGCTTAAGTTCTGCCCTTGACGACTGCCTGCTAGGAAGTCCAAATGAACGTAGAGGTTCCCACTTCATGTGGAAATAAGTTGGAGCTCAGGAACTGCCCTCATTCATGGAGCACAAAGCTTTTCGGCACTGGCCTTTCACCAGTCACTGCTGCTAAAGATAGAGCCAAGCAGGACTGAATCACTTTCAACAGAAGCATTCAAAGGGAAGTCAAGCACTTGCCCATGCAAACACAAGGGCCTGAGTTCAAATCCCTGGAACCCAAGTATAGCTGGACCGCAGTGCACATCTGTAACCTCGGTGCTACTGTGATGAGATGGAAGGCACAGGAGACTTTCTAGGAGCTTGCAAGGATAGCTAGTCTGGTCTCCACATCGGCTTCCACAACCCAGTGACATGACAAAACAAGGTGGAAGGTGAGGACTACACCCGAGGTTGTCCCCTGACCTCCACACAGACACGGTGGCATGTACACCCCACCCTACCACACACGCAGCCCACTTTAAAATTCTTAGGTAAGACAATGGAATCTGTATGGAAATATCCTCCCTGTACCTTTAAGAAAGGCCCAGAAACTCTTGGGGGATGAGGGGGATGGGTGTTTAGAGGGAGTCTAATATTTTAAAAGCTACAATTAGCATCGCTTTTGAAAGCTGCAATTGCTCTCTCACTTTTTGCTGCAGCTCAGCCCCCAGAAAAATGTAAAAATGATTTCCTTGTTCTGTCATTAACTGCTTTAGCATGGAAAACAGGAATAAATGTTAAGGAATCCTTGTGGTTGTGACAGACTGCTAAGAAGATAGTCAGATTTTGGTTTTATTATCTTGACCTCTTGGGTTAGTCCTGTCTCCACTGTGCAAAAGCAGAAGATTGCATGTTTGGTGACCTCCTTACTGTAGAAACCAATTTGCTTCCTGACTGAGAAGTTTTCAAGTGCTTGAGAAATGGGGGGCATGTGACGAGGGTGTGGGTGGGGTGGAAGTGTTTTATTAAGTTGAAATTGCTTGTGGTATCTGTCTTGAAGATTTGCTATGTGATATTTTTAATGACACTTTTCACTGAACTGCTACTCATCGCCCTGTCCTTATCTGACCCCCAACTCTGAGTTCTGGCATGATGTTTCCCCCTGTAAGCTGCTCTGTGTCCCACTTTGGTCTTTGTTGTAGCATTTCTGGACTGTGGATTTGTCCCATAGGCTGTAAGCACTGTGGGAGCAGAGATGATACCTTTATTTCTATGGTTAAATGCCTGGTTCCTGTTACGTAGTAGGCACTCTGCAGGTATATGTTGATTGGATAAAAGGATGGATGGATGTTTAAAGAATGAGTACGGTAAGAATGATCACTTCTATTTTATGTATAAAAGTCTCAAGGGATAGAGAGATTAAATTTTTGCTCAAGTTGTCCTGTAAATAGATAACAGAATCATAATTTGAACCTAGGGCAATTACATCCCTAAGCTTAGTATTTGGAAGGTTTTATACTGTGTATGTACTGTTCCAGGGGGTTAAAAAGATAGAAGTGTAAATGATATTTAAAGGTTTTTTTTTTTTTTAACAATAGGGCAGGGAAACTGTGAGGAAGGGCTAATGTTTTAGTAAGTTGGGTTTTGGAGGATGAATAGGAGCCTGTGAGGGATCCTAGTGAAGGCAGGAAGGAGGAGAATGGCTGGTCTACGCAATGGGGAAATTAAGAACAGAGTTATACCTGAGTTCTTAGGTTCTGAAAATACGTTTACCTGGGTTCATATCCTGCTTCTGACAATTTTTTTTTAAATGGAGGTATTTGACAATTTATTTAACTTCTCTAAGCCTCAGGGAAATACTGCAATTACAATGGTCAGAGGCAAATCAAATTTTCTTGTTTTGTGAAGCTTGCACAATCTTTCAGAATGTTTAAGATAAGGAATAATTTCTTTTTGGTAAATTTCAAATTAGTATATGGCTGTGGCTCTGGTGACTTACAGAGTTGTTGAAGCTAATGTCATGATGTCCATTGTAGTGAACTGGTTGCAGTGTTTGGTTGAGAAAAATCTTGGGAGGTGTTGTGCAATTGCTTATCTGTATTGCTTGGTGCTGTCAGCTATTATTGCTAGTAAGAGGAGCCCTGAGTATTCTCAGGACAGCTGGAGGCCTGCGTGGCTGAAGATCAGGTTGGGGATTAAGCTGAAGCCAAACTAGGAAGCAAAAGTAGAGTAGTAGGTGTGGGGGACTTTAAAGCAAGAAGGACCGGGAGATTTGATGTTTTTGTTGTGGGGGCTCACTGTGTATTCCTGACTGGCCTGGACCTCTTTCTGTAGACCAGGGTAGCCTGGAACTCATCTGTTTCTGCCTCCCGAATGCCGAGAGTAATGGCATGTGCCACCACATCCAGTTAAATGATTAACTTTTCAGTGTACAAAGTAATGGGTTTTGTTGTGACAAACCTCTGCTTTCCCTCCTCCTTCCATGTAGTTCCTCTGTTTCCAGTGTGTGTGTGTGCGTGTGTGTGTGTGTGTGTGCGCTCATGCTTATGTGTGCTTATATGTGTATGTAGATGTGCACGTGTGTGTGCATGTGTGTGTATGTGTGGGAGTATGTGGGGCATAAGAGAGAAAACACAATTTGTCCTTTTCCTGCTTTACCTTCTCTTGCTACTTCCTTCTCCTCAGCAATCCCCTCCATCAATTTTTATGTCACATGTATGTTGGTATGCACATATTAAAACCTAGATTCTACATATGAGACAAAATGTGGCCTTCATGTTTATGAATCTAGCTTAACATGATCTCCAGTTCCATCCATTTTCCTGAAAATGGCTCTTTTTCATGCTTTATATCTAAATAAAACTACATTGTGTATATATACTTTTTATGGTAGGTGGACATCTAACCTGGTTCTGTGTCTTAACTGTTATGGATATTTGCAGTAAACATGGTGTGCAAGCATGCCTGTGCCGTACTGACTAGAGCCCTGGGGGTGATATAGTTGAGTCATATGGTAGTCCTACCAGTATCCATAGTGACTACACTAATACCATTCCTTGATGGTATTAGTGATTAGTGATGGCTTGCTTTCTGTTGCTGTGATAAACATGGCCAGAAGCAGCCTGGGGAATGCAGAGTTTGTTTCAGCTTACATTCCCACATCGTAGTCTA